CTCCTCTAGGGAGGTGTCTGCTCCCACTGCTCCTCTGAGGAGAAGGTGTCTGCTCCTTCTGCTCCTTTGAGGAGGTGTCTGCTCCTCTGAGGACTCAGATCCTTCAATAATTTTCTTATAGCAGTGCATAGGTTTTTCAGTTACACCCGTTATTAGAGCACAGTAACTCATTTTTCTGAGTCGTCTCTGAACGCACCATTAGCAAACACGCTGATGTGGCAATCTGACGTGAGAAATCAGGAGCCCTGCTCCGTCTTCTCCTCTTTAATTGGTAACATTATTTAGACTGATTAGTTAAATGATCGGCTGTTTGCAATTCTGTCATTTTCTATTCTAGATGCTGATCACACCAGGTCAGGTTATATAGATCCATTTATAAAAGATTTTAGATATTTATACACAGCCAATGAACCCAACAGTCATGTTTCTGGACTGTGGGATCGAACCCAGAACCTTCTTGCTGCAATGCTCCACCGTTCAGCTCCTCCCATTAAACTGATAAAGCATAAAATCGATGCATGAAGAGTTTGAGAAATTCAGTTCTAGTTAGTTTGATCATAATCCCGACCTGATGCTAATTCTTCAGATCAGAATAATCTGCCTTCAGATTTTTGTGACAATCCGTCGGCTTCCAATTATTAGACCTGCATTTCTGCTTAGTCACTTATTTTATTCATCATTCTATGAGAAACGCTGACAGTAACTACCTGGATAAAGTTCATAGCTTAAATATTGAAAGTGTCCATGAATGTTTTCATACCAACAGGAACGTTTATCCTGATTTTAACGCTAACGACCCAAACAGCAGATAAACCCTGATCATCAGCTTCCAGCAGCAGGAAGGGAAAATTAGGCGGAGGCTAATGGCTCCATGAACCGTTTTATTCCATCAGCCAGCAGAGCGCAGCAGGGAAATGGACTCCATTTCCCATGACCCCTGAGCTCTCATCCATTAGCAGACTAACTGGCGCTCGCTCTGCTGCAACCTTCTGCACAGAAGAAGAAGAAAAACCCTGAAAGCTGCTGGCGACCAAACGCCCTTTAAACCAGAGGGACTCTAATGGCAGACCTGATGGGCCATTAAGCAGCAGACAGAGCGGCGAGGCCTGAAAGGTGACGCCGCTTGTGAAGGCGACCATCAGAGCGCCTGATATCAGGCTGATGGAGAATAAACTGGTTTCTGTGGGACGATCAACTCTGCAGGAAACAGACCATCAGGCTTAGTGCCGTCCATAAATGGAAGAACGATGCCGTCCACGTTTCCTCCATGAACAGCAGATCGCCTCAATGGAAGACCAGGGTCACAGCCGGTAACCATGGAGACACTGACGGTCTGAGAACATATGTTAGACGTTTCTGATTCAGATTTCAGTAAAACCCCCCCTAACCTCCATCCGCTGGGAGCTGAGAGAGACGGACGCACCAGGCGGGAACGGCGGCCTCAGGGCTCCTGATGCTATCAGCTGCACCCTGGCATCAGAGCGGCTGTGCAGACTGGAGTTTTCCTCTGAACCTCCCGCCCTGCTGCTGCTGAGGTCAGAAGAACCAGACAGCAATGATTCCACCAAATAGCCTCTTTATTCCAGGGAAACCATTTTATTACAATTTCCACATATTAATTCTAAGACAGGAACCAATAAAACCATAGAGGTGTTTCTAGAGGGGCTGGTGGAGCAGGAAGCAGATGGCGCTGCAGTGAGTTTAGACGTTTCAGGCGGAGGGCGGCGGCGGCAGATCAGGGTCACTCTGTGAGGCCCAGCTTCTTCTTCAGGGACTCGGGCATCTCTGGGGGAGGGGGGCGGGGCAGGCGGAAGTAGACCTTGACAGAGTCGTAGATGAACCACTGCAGGGCCGTCAGCGTACCGATCATGATGATACGCGCCACCAGACCCTTCCACACACCTGAGGGATACAGACACTGGTTGACATCAGGAAGGACCCTCTGCTGAGGCCACTAAGGATGTCCGCCCCCCAGACTGGCAGCGCCGGGAGCTCCCAGTCCCGGAGGACCGGGCGGCCGGCGCTGCAGCTGGGCTGGGGGGGCGGGTGTACTGCTGTCACACGCCAATGACTCAAGCACCTCCGACCGTACAGCAGGAAGCTGCTGAGGACCAGGTCCTCCAGAGGTGGATCTAAGGAGCGTGTCTGCGGCTCAGAGCGAGCCGTTGCCATACCAACCTTTGGGTCCCAGCTTCTTCAGCACCTGCACCGCCGTGCTTCCCTTCTCCTTGTTCAGCACGGACACCACCGAGTCAGCGGGATGCGATACAATGGCGCAGAACACGCCGGCTGCAGACAGAGCAGAGAGCGTCAGCGGCGCTCCGGGACGGAGGGGACTCTGGGTCAGGGCTACTCACCGATGTATCCCGCCACGAAGGTGACCACCAGCTGCTCCGGCTTGCTGCACTCGCTGCGGGGCTTGGGGACCACGTACTTGTAGAGCAGCTCCACCGTCCGCTCGAAGCAGGCGAACTTCATCATGGTGTAGGGGATCTGCCTCATCCACAGAGGGACCACGCCCTTATAGAACCTGAGCACACAGCGGGACACCGTTACCTGCCATCACTCTCACTGGGACTGGGTGTCCGCCCCCCAGACGGGCAGCGCCGGGCGCTCCCGGAGGACCGGTCAGCCGGCGCTGCAGCTGGGCTGGAGGGGCAGGTGGACTGCTGTCACACGCCAATGACTCAAGCACCTCCGACGGTACAGCAGGAAGCTGCTGAGGACCAGGTCCTCCAGAGGTGGATCTAAGGAGCGTGTTCGTCACTCAAACCCAAGCAAACTTACGCCCACAGGCCTTCCTCTGCAAACATCTTGGGTGCGCACTGTCTGAGGGTGTTGGCGTAGCCGGGCTGCGTCTGGATCCGGACCTTGGCGGCCTCCATGGGAGCCAGGGCGATGTCTGCGAAGAACTCTGCGCTGGCAGAAGCAGCCAGGTACAGAGACGTCCTCCACAGGTAGGTGTTTTCCTGTTGGGAGGGGACACACCATCAGAACCGCCCAGAAGCCCCTCCCCCATCAGCTCCTAACAAACAGGAACACCAGAGGACGGCCTCTGAAGGGACTGCAGGAAGCAGCCATTTAAACATCAGTTAAACCATCCTAAGCTGGGGTTTCATGCTGGACTGATTGATAAACCCGTTTTCTTTGCTGCCCTCTGGTGGACGACGAGCATACCTGCAGGTAGAGAGTGCAGCGTACCAGGAGCACGGAGCAGCTCTCTGCTGCCATCATCACTGATCGTTTCAAAGATTTCAGAAGAAAATCTGCTTTGCAGCATCTAGAAGCTTCCTGATTCCTGGGATTAATGCTAATCTAAGCCTCCAACAGGGAGTTCGACCAATCAGGAGGGACCGCTGTCCTGGGTTATAATATCTGGACAGAAACAAACTGATTTCCTTCAGTTTATTGGGAAGCCATTTTATTTTCACCACACAGGAGAAACTTCTGCATAAACCAGAATTACATCTTAATTTCTATAGTTTCAGTTCCTGTTCCCCCAGCCTGAGATGAAGGTAGGAAGGTCGCCAACAGCACGCCCCCCTAAAGGTCATGACCCCTCCAGCAGCTGAGCCTCCTTCTGTTACCTTGCTCTCTGGTTCTGCTCTCATCTCAGTCATGATTAGAGTCTAAATGGACCTGAGAACAACTATTAACCCTCTATAGGGTGAGTTACCGTTTTTAGAATGATATATTACCTACTGTAGATTAGGGTTGTCAAAAGTATCGATACTCAAAAAAGTATCGATACTGAAACGTATCCGGATACAATACTCATTTTCAAAAGTATCGATACAGCCATCTAAAGTGCAGAATAGTGGAAAATGCACTTTCTGAACACTGTGTGATTGAATAATTCTGTGCATTTTTCAGTTTCAGACTTTTTTTGTAACAGGTGCGGCTGCTGAGAATTATTTTTATTTAACTGGTTTGGCTAGTGTCATTGTTATGTCTACAAAACATAGCCAAGGAAGGAACACTTAATTTTAATTTAGTAAGTTTTTTATCAAGCTTGCTTAATATTGTGCACAGCATACAACCTCAAAATATTATTCTTATTGTTTTTTTTTTTTATTTCTTGTATTTTTTTAGTAATGAAAGTATTTCTGTTGAATTTTAGAGTCTTTGTTTTTATCCTGGTGGTATCGAAAAGGGTATCGAGTATCGAATATTTTAGTATCGGTATCGAGTTGAAAAGTTTAGTATCGTGACAACCCTACTGTAGATAAAGTGGAAAACAGTTAAAGGTCCACTCATTCAGAATAAAAACTTCTAAAAGTTCTTTAAATCTGAAGTCATTACATCCTGTTCAATAAATGATCAGTGTTTTTATTTCAGAGTAATTTTCGTCCGTGGAGGATCAGGAATCAGAAAGGTGGAATAACTCTTTTCCCCCGATGTATTCCAGCATCCAGCTGCTATGCACGTGGGCATTGTCAGATTCACTATAGCTCTGGTGAATTTCAATGGTGAAGTCCTCTGGAAATCTTCAATAATTGTTGTTGATTGCAGATGTGTCTAGTAGTTCCCATTGATTTAGCTTGTAAAGCGGGGAGAATGGCGCTAGGCTTACCGCACCGTGACGTCACTGCTGGAAGATGGCAGGAGGGAGGGGCTACTATATTTGGGCTAAAATGGCCGCTTCCAGACTCAGAGATCACCACGAAGATTATTCTATTTTCTCACTGACCGAACTTTTCCTTTAACAAGAAAAAAAAGGCTAAAAAAAAAATCTAAGAGTTTCCATTGGCATTAAAGCTATATGTAAGAAAAATAAGTGTTTCTTTCGGTGTCTATAGAAGCACCCCTTGTTATTCTTCTTTATTAGAGTAAGTGAGCTTTTTGTTATTACATTAACATTCATTTTGCCATCAAATTAGTCCTTTTTTTTGTTATTTAACATGAAAAAATTACAGGGGTAGTAACAGTGGTTGTCCTGGAGTACATTAACACTAAATATTTCCACTGGGGGCCTATAAGGCTAACTGGGAGGACTGGGACCGAACTGCCCCCTGCCTGAACATCCAGACGTTTAACCTCCACTGTTAGGATCCAGAACTCTGATCCCACTGGGAAAGCAGCCGTGGCTGTAGCGGGTTTTAGAAGCGAGCGTTTGACCCGCAGTAAGAAAGATAGTCCCAACAGACTGGCTGAACTCACCTCTCCCAGCAGGTCGCTGTAGAAGATCTTGAAGACCTCGTAGAAGCCAAACTTGCAGAGCCCCTGCATGGAGTAGCCGATGAAGGTAGGGGCCCAGCCCTTAGCCAGGCCTCTGAAGCCATCCTCCCTCACCGTCACCGCAAAGCCGTTACCGATGCTCTTGTATTTGTCTGGATTCACCTGAAGAGGAGAAGGTTCAGTTATCGGTCAGGTGAGGACTGCAGAACTCCACCAGGTCACTTTAAGATCCCCGAGCAACATGCTAGCTGTTAGCATGCGCTAAAGCCCAGAACTTTGGGCCTTTGGATCCTTTTAACAGGATCTAAACCGGCTTCATGTTCTGATGGAAGCCCGCCTGGGTCACAGCGAGGTTCTGATGTCAGAGACCAACGCATCATCTGTGGTTTTACCAGAAACTCAGCGGTGGCCCAGGCCGTTCAGAACCCGTTTCCATACCTGCAGACGGCACTTGACCAGGTCGAGGGGCACGACTGCGGTGTGCGTGAGGCCGCAGCTCAGGATGCCGCCAAAGCCGCAGAGGGCATAGTACTTGGAGGAGCCAAACTCGCAGCTGACATCCTCTGTGGCAGGAGGAGGGGGGACACGACACACGCAGCATGCCGGGAAACATGCAACACAGGAGACAAATCACAACGCAGAGGGTTACGGAGGAGGAGCAGCGCACAGCAGGCTCCGCCTCCATAACCTCTGCCACCAACATGCAGATGAGTTCAAAATCACAGCAAAGATGATTTGCAGAAATAAATCACATCATCAGATCATTCATAGTGGATCACAGCGTTACGGTCAGATCAATGATTTAGATTCAGCTTCGCTGTGAGGAATCGATTCTTCCAGCCTGTTGCTGTTCATCGAGACTCTAAAACCAGGAACCGGTCCGGAGGGGAACCAGAACCAGCTGGGTTCTGATCCGCTTTCATCTGTGGTTCAATAAACTGGCTCCACAGCGCCGCCCTGGAGACAGTGTTCTGTCAGACCAGCATACCCAGAGTAAAAACCCGTTTAGCCCTTCAGTTTAGCATGAAGCGTACGGCGATCTGACCTTAAATGTTTTTTTTGTACACGACTACAGGGCAACACGCCCACTGTGGAAGTATAAAGTCTATTTTTCATACAAAACTAAAGGGATAAAGGTAAATCTGGTGTCTTGTGTGCGTACTGACTATGGGTATGCTAGTCTGACAGAACGGCAGCTGACCTCTGACCCTGACCAGGTCCACCGGAGCGGTTCTGGATGGTGGTGAAGATGAGCAGCGGCTCCTGATGAAGGCTGGCCGGTCCATTCTGCCGGTTCATAGGAACCAGAACCTTGTTTCCAGTCTATGCAGGTGGTTCTGATCAGACCGCCTCCTGCAGGAGGTCCGATCAGAACCACCTGCTGCTATTAAAGGCAGAACACAGCAGAACCATGTGCTGGCTCCCCTCTGATCTGATCTACAAGATCCCCGTTTGTCCTTCGTATCCTGCAATGAGCAGACCGGTCCAAGGTGACCCCCCCACCCCATGGAGTAACAGCCGTTTTCAGCTGTGGGGGGGCGAGGGACAGACTGTTTGGATGTGAAGGGTGGCTAACATGCAGCGGCATTAAAGGACCTCCAGCATGCAGGCGGGAGGGGATGGCGGCGCAGCGAGGAGGCCGCTGAACAGACCTGCATCCTGCATTTGACCAGGTCCAGAGGAACCACGGCGGTGTGGGTGGTGCCACAGCTCAGAATCCCCCCAAACCCACACAGGATTAAATACTTCTGAGAGCCGAACTCACAACTGTCCCCCTCTGGAGAAACAAAGTGAGGAGGAAGCTGATCAAGACTCAGAGGAACATTCAGCATTTCAACCGGAAATAAATCTGGAGGTAAAGGCTGCTCTATGAACCTCAGCGCTCAGACATATCTGTCATTTATTCTCTCAATACATTTATGTTGTAATAAAACTTTAAAATGCATCACTTTATTTATTCAACTGTCACTTATTTTGATACTTCTATAAACTTTTGCTGCTGTAACAGTAATTTCCACATTATGGGACAATAAATAACGGATCTTTATTGATCTCACATTGGAGAAATTCCCTCTCTGCTTTTAACCCATCCACTTAGGGAGCAGTGTGGGGTTAAAGGTCCTGCTCAGGGACCCAGAGTGGCAGTCTGTGGGAGTGGGACTCTACCTCAGAACCTCTGGATTCCAAGCTCTATGCCCTAACCACTAACCCCCCACAAAAACTGAATTTAGCCGTTTAGTTTATGCTTTTGCTCAAATAGAAAGAGTTCATGTTAAATCTGCAAAGACCAGGGATTTATTTAACTGCATAAATAACAGTTCTGCTATAAATAGCAATAGTGAAATAAAACAAATTCTGATAAGTTTTTTATTGATGTTATAACATTTATCAGCAGACATTAGAAACCACTGACTGTTTTATAACCAAGTGCTTTAATTACTTTAAATACATAAACTGTTAAAATGTCAGCATAGGAATGTATAAAGTTAACAGTCTGCCATAATGTTAAAGTGTGACTGAAAGGCTAATCTCTGGTAGACCATTCCATGGGTTCAATGGATTAGAAACCTGCTTATTTATCAACTTTTCCACCAATAAAATGATTCTCTGTTTAGGTCTGGTTCTGTTAATCATCAAACTGCTGCTTATGCTTCAATAAACTGACCTGGAATCAGTAAGAGCATCAGATGCTAATGTTAGCGGCTAACGTTAGCCGCTAACATCAGATGCTAACGTTAGCCGCTAACATGCTAACGGACATTCGTCCTTCACTGGGGCCTGATCCAGGAATGAAGCAGTTAATAAACCATTTTCTGTGACTGACAGGGCTAAGCTAACTGCGCTGCTAAGGAGCAGACCCAGCGCCGGGTTTACCGTCCACCGCTGCAGCTGCTGCCAGTCTGCGGGGCCTCTGTCCGCGGAGGTTCTGCTGGGGCTCTTCCACCTTCTGGAGGGAGAAGAGCGGCGCGCTGAACGGGTTGGCCCGCGCCATCTGCGTCAGAGAAGTGGGGTACATGGTGGCGGAGCAACGCTGCGGAGATCAGGACAGACACCGTTAGCCTGAGCTAACCAGTAACCTAACCCACCCCCGACATCTGAACCAAGGACCGCTGGGTCACGTGCTGCTGCAGTGCGAGGTGACCTGTGGAGAGACTGCTCACATCTCTAACAAAGCAGCCATGTTTCCAGAGACAGCTGCTCTAGCAGGAGCCCTGCAGCTGCTTCCCTTCTTTAACCCGCTGCGTCCTTTTCTGCATTCAGACTGAGGCTAAAGCTAAAGGCTGAGCTAACTCTGAGGGGTTGATCAAGGTTACAGTCCGCTTTAACCCCCCCATTAACCCACATAGTCTGGAACCCCCCAGCGGTGAGCCGCTTGGTCCTCTCTAAAATGGTTACTGATGTTTTCTTTCTAACGCAGAGGATTAATCCGATATAAACTCACTTTCAGGATCTCAAGATGGCGCCTCCGCTTTCCCGCAGCCGGCTGCTCGTAGGAGAGGCTGGATGACCCCGCGGTAAATCAGTTTGTCCTTTCATGACGTCAGCAAAGACCCTGGGCGGGTTCCCTTGCTGTGCTGTCCAATAGGAAAATGTTCCATCTATGACAGCGCTCCAATCACAGAACAGCTCGTGCAGAGTTAGGGTCGGTCTTCAGGTGCCCTCAGAGTGACTTTCAAACATCAAAACAATCCCGAATCCACTATGACCTGCAGCTCCTGCTCTGTGTCATTGATGACATCACCAATAGATCAGAACAGCAGCAGAAGGATCTGAGCTCATCGATAAACAAATTATCATGAAGGAACTAATCACAGGGTTACTGGTAGTCAGTTGGTAGTACAGGGTGGAATGAAGCCACCGACCGCCATATTGGTACTCCCTAGTTAGACCGGTCAGAATGTAAACAATCTGTGCGCTACAGCATCAAACAACCATGATGTTCTCATTTTCAGGGAGACTGAAGACCTTTACAATAAAGATAAATTCATCACTTTGACACAGACTGGCTTTTTCATAGCATCAGTAGATTAACTTTAACTTAGAATAAAAAAAATAGGCCCATCACATTGCATAGTCATTATGAAGTCAATGAAGTCTATAAATCATGTAATATAGCATATTATACAAAACCATCACAATAAAATGAATGTGTTAATGGAGCAGAATATTACCGATGAGCCAAAAGTGCTAAATTGATGATGTACATGTAATATACATGAATTGATTATATATATATATATATATATATATATATATATATATATATATATATATATATATATATATATATATATATATATATATATATATATGGGTCAAATGTTTGAGTTGCTTTTTTTCCATCAATATAACATGCAAAATATTTCAGCACATAACTTTTTCAAATGAGAAATACAACAAACAGTACAAAACGACATCATCATCCACTTAATAAAGAATTACTTCATTAACATTTCACAGTGAATGACTTTCTATTTCCTCTACTTTCTATTTTCTAACGTTAGAGATAGCCAGACTAATGTTAGTCTCCAGACTATACTATAGGATCCATCGGCTATAGATGGATTTATTGGTTAGTTCATCCACTGACTGTGGAACATCTTCCTGCAGACAGAAAACTGCTGGTTTATGCAGCCAGATGCTGCACAGGGAGGCATTTTACTGCACGTCTCTGTGGGAGTGGGGAGTACCAAGATGGCGGCTGGTGGCTTCCCTTTATTCAGGCAATCAGCAATCCAGTGAATAGAGATCAGCACTTTTAGTCCTATTTAGGTGGAAAACCAACAAAAAAGAAATGGATTGGATACCTTAGTCCAGTTAGTATTGAGCCCCTGTGGTTAATTTCCGAAAACAAAGATTGAATTAAGAAAAGATGATGCCAAATTAATGACTTACAAGTTTAAAAACTCCACAACAGTTGCCATAGAGCCAAAATTCTAAGCAAAAGCTGCTTTGCTGAAAGAAATAGAAATGATTTTTCATGGAGAATATAGAGCAAAAAAAATAATTTATGGGATATGATTGGAAACTATGACAGATAATGAATATATGGAAAATAACAGAAGTGAAAATTAAATGACTCCTAATTTATCTCGAAGACAGGGAGGGAATCATGTTTGTGCATCCAGAACATGAAGCTTATAGTTAGAGTGGCTCAGGTTATCCTGAGCTATAGTTCTGCTGCTATAGACTTAGACTGCTGGAGGACATAGGGACCCCCCATCATTCTATCACTATTCTTAATTTCTATATTTATATTCTGATTTTTCTCAACATGAAAGCTTCCTCTGGCCTGGTTGTTTATCTGTGACTCCATCCTTGAGATATTTAGCTTGGCAGCTACCATTATAGATGTTGGAGTTGGGCCTGTTTCTCTCCCATAGCTATGGGCTCAGCTTTTACTGGAACAAACTGGATGCGTTTATTCTCCTACATGAAAACTGGATCAGATCTCGTCTGATTAACTGTTTCATTTCCAGAAAGAGCCACCTGTGGCGCTAGTTTACCGTTAGCCTTTCATGTTTAACATGACACGTTCTTTTTCTGTCTGCTTCTGTCTCCTTGAACCCCAGTCGGCCTCAGCAGATGGCCGCTCACACTGAGCCTGGTTCTGCTGGAGGTTTCTTCCTGTTCAAAGGGAGTTTTTCCTCTCCACTGTCGCTACAAGCTTGCTTAGTTTAAGGGATTGCTGAAGATAGAAAACTTCCTTTCAAAGCAGTTTAAGACTTTAACAGCGTTAGGCCTAAGTGTCCCTTCCTTTTCAGTGTCAGATGTTGGGATGGGGGCCGGCCCAGCCCCCTGGCCTTTCTGCATGTTGCAAGTGGAAACAGACCGGCTGATGTTTATAGTTTCAACTGGAGAGAGAGGATGAGAAATCAACTTCATACAAGGTGAGAAATGCTTTTAGCATTTTCCAAAAAAAAGGTCTGAAGCAGAAAATGTAGACTTAAGACACGATGTGCTGCAGTAACGCTTTATTTAGTGAGCAATGCAGCAACTACATTTGTGTAAAATAGAAATTCAGTTTAATAAGAAACATTAAGAAAATATATCAAGAGTTTCAGTTTTAGAAGCATCAGCGTCATGGCGCCATCTTTGCTGACATCCAGGCAGTAAGACTAAGCTCCGCCTTTAACCCCAACTCACACATTGTCAACACAGTTAGCACCAAGAAGCTGCAGTGCTTCGCTCTAAGGAATCCATCAGGACTCTTCACCGCTTTACAGGACACCGCTTAAAGGAGAAAGACACTTTAAAAATACAAACCAGGGAATCATGAGGTAAGAAAAACTGGCTACAGATTCACACTTCAACCAGAAGTATTCACCCCCCTATCTACGCTGCCCCCCCTGTAGCTCAGGCCTGGAACGGGCCCACAGAGTTGGTCTCCATGGCCAGGTAAACAAAAACCAGGAATGCACCCAGGACACCGACCAGGGCCAGCTTCTTCCAAAGAGCAGTGCTGCGGCGCGGCGCTCTGGTTGGAGCGGTAACAGCCAGCGTGGCGTAGGAGGTGCTGGAGGAGGTGCTGGAGGAGGCGCTGGAGGAGGCGCTCCCACTGGACACCCTGTTGACGGCGTGGCTCCCCGTGTAAGAGAAGCTGCTTGTCTTGGCGGTTTTGGAAAAGTCCTCATTCCACACTTCGCTGGAGATCAGGGGGCGTCCGGCGGCTCCTCTGATGGGCTTCCTACAGGTGGCGCTGTAACAACAGGTCAGAGTTAATCAGGCCTGGAGGGACCCCACACCCCCATAACTTTAATGCTCCACATCTATGTTTAGGAATATTCAGAGATCTAAAAAGCAGACAAAAAGAAATCAGTACATTATCCAGGTTAAAGCGCAAATATGAAGTAGTGCTGGGGGCACTGGGAGCACTGGGAAATGTGGTCGAGCTCAGAGGAACACGGGACGTCTGGAGGGAAAAGGCTCCAAACATCATGCAGACCTGGAGCTATCGATTAATAGAAGCTCTATCTCCACTAACACTCATCATGCTCTATGTTCCCAAAAGTGTTCATGTTAGCCCTGGCTGAGCAAGACCCTTAACCCCACACTGCTCCCTGGGCTCCGCACAGTGGCAGCCCACTGCTCCCCAAGGGGAGGGGTTAAATGTAGAGGGTTAATTTCCCCACAGTGGGACAATAAAGGGATTCATATTACATTATGTTTACATCTTTGTTATTTGGCAGCGCCACAAAAAAATCCCATGATGCTTTGCGAGGAGAGCTCTTTCAAAGCATCCTGGGATATAACTGCTGGTCTAGTGACCATGGATGATCACTACTTTTCAAGGTGCAAACTGGGAAATTGAGTCCCCTACTTTTTCATCCATTAGACGTTCGATAATCATGTAAAATGGCGTCACCACTATATAGAGATTAGAGCAGAGGGTCACAGACTCTGGTCACAGTCACAGGAAGATGTTTCTGTTTTTATTTCATTCTGTGTAGAGAATCCATCCAAGTTTATCCTGATAATATGAGGATTTATAAAGCAGAGTGAACCTGTGACCAGAGTCTGGCTCTTCATTCAGAGCCGATTAGCTCACTGCTCTGTTCTGCTGAATCTCTCCCTCTGATTATTGCTGAAAAGCTGAGCTTTCCTACCTTATTCCTGTCGGACTGTTCATGTCGCCAGTAAAAAGCTCCGTTAGAACGTCTTCCTCCACTTTCTGCTCACTGGCGCTGATTTTCTCCACCTGCAGAGAAAACATCAGGTTCACTTTAACAGTGAATAGAAGCTGGTAATCTATAATCTGTGTTATTCCAGTGGGTCACTGGATGCTAAAAAGAAAGGATGAGTGGAGCAGAGAAATGTGTCCCTGTGGTCACTTCTGTTAAACCTCCGTTTCCTCCAGTCCTGCACAGAAACTGGATCCAAGGCTGAAACGGAGCAGGATGGTGGAATTAATTAAGATTAGGAACAAAACAAACCGGCTTTGTCTTTCAATCATTTCTGTGTTTTGTTTTTTTATCCTGCCTTTTTTTCCAGATAAACTTTCCCGGCGTATGTCAGTCATCCAAATATTTCTAGTTACTTTTATTTCTGAACAAGGTAAAACATTTTATAGATTAGATTCAGATTTCTAGATTAAAATCCAGAACATCTGGAAGCTTAGATGTGCATTTTATAGGAAAACTCCCAAATATCCGACATACGCAGGGTGTCACTTCCCTTCATGTGTTATTTATCCAGATTGTTGGATTCAAACTGTCATTAGTTTATGTCAGTATGCAGAAAGGCTCCATAATCCTTCTGTTCTGTCATTGATTGGTCAGATTAACCCTTTAATCTATAGGAGGTCAGTTTTAATAGCAGCTGTTCATGTTCTTTAAGACTCCTTTTCATCATTTCCATTTCGGTTCCTTATTCTCTAAACAGTTTTAGGTCTGTCCCATCGTTATTAGCTCGGATTACATTTGAATGCATCTAAAAGACCGGATGGTGAAATGAAGAATGATCAGATTAATCAATTATGGAAAGAATCAGCTAATTTAGTAATTAATCATTAACTGGAGTAGAAAGACTTTAGCTGACAGAGTGACCCACTTAGAGCAGGAATTATACCAAGATTGTAAAAAAAAAATTATAAATATTTTGCATTTCTGATAAGAAAAAAAGTTATTTTTCATCTGTCAATCTGCTCTAAAATCCAGAACTCCTCAAGTTTCATCTGGTTTAATTCTGTTAAATCCTTCCATAAGCAACAGTTTCCTTTCTGATCATTCATTGAATAATAATCCACAGATTAATCAATTAGCAGAATACTGGTTAATTGCAGCTCTAACTCAAAGTTTTTAATCTGACTAGTGTTTTTCCCCTGAAGTTTCCATTATCAGGGTTCTGGTCCAGAGACGAACCTCTCCCTCCACGCCACCACACAGCCCAGATCTGCCATGCATAGATTGACATATTTTATTAGATCAGGTCGATGTTGGATGTAGGGCTGCAATTGACGAGTATTTAGCAAATAGATAAATTTTTTAGATTAATAATCTGATATCCAAAGGTTCCACAAGAAGATTTTTTATGAAATCAAACCAGGTGAAACTAAAACTTTTCCACTTGAGGAGTTCTGGATTATAGAGCAGATTGACAGATAAAAAACGTTTTTATTATTTAAATGCAAAATGTTTATATATTTTTTTACAATCTTGGTATAATTCCTGCTCTGTTTTACAGCCTTTATACTCGAATTAACAATTAAAGCTACAGTGTGTAATTTTCAGCGACATCTAACGTCCAGACTGCAGACCGCAGCAACATGAACATCTCCCCCCCACCGCTTCTCCCCCCCCAACAGTACGGCGAGCGTTACGGGACAAAATGTCTTCCACGACGTCGGAATCACCTACCTTCTCAAGTGATGAGGTTTGTTTACATAGATAATTTTACAGATAGTATTTCATTAGTCTGTGTAGGGTATAGATTTCATGTAGACTTTAGATAATAAATATACCCGTTATTTTTTCTACGTCGTTGTGACGTTTTGGTGAGCTGCTTTGCATGGTGATATAAACAGACGAAGGAATTGTAGTCATTAGTTTAACAGCGAGATTGTGTTCGCTAGAAGAATATATATTCCCCGTTTACAGAGTCCAAGTCTTGTTTGTGGCACGGGGGTTACAAGGCGAGGAAGAGGGAGAGGAAGAGGGCGAGGGCGTGCAGCTAGGGCCAGGCGAGAGAGGGGAGCCAGCGGGGTGAGAGCAGAGGAGGAAAGGCTTGAAGATCTCCAAAGGAGCCGGAGAGAAGTAACCGAGGTATATATCCAGAAAATTATTTTACAGAAAATTACTGAATCATTACCTGTGAAACGTCAGGGACGTTGCTGAATAAGTATACTGGAGAGTAACAGCATCATCACGCAGCATGTTATTGTTTTAGACAGGTCTGAGCATCCTGTACTCCAAAAACTGCAGTGATATTAGACAATTGTGTGTGTAGGATTAATTACCTGTCCAAGAGAAAACTGGCAACTTGAGCGTCACTTTGAAAACCTTTTTCCTCCATCAGTGACTTCCATCGTGTAAATGCCGTGCCAATGTTGATCCGTGTTTTTTGCCGTTTCTTCTCACGCTTGCGTTTATTCTCGTCGTGTTTCCGCTTCTTAGATGACGGGGGTTCGGTGTCCGCCGCTTTTCGTTGTGATACAGAGTAGGCATGATCCTCCATTCGTCTGATGTTTGGCCACACAGTGCCAAACAGTTTGCAAAGTCACTCACGCCTGCCGCCTTGTTCACCTTTCTTGTTACTGAGGCGCAGTATACCTGCTTCTTCTTCTTCTTTGGTTTCAGGCAGACTAAACGCTTCTCAGGCATAATACTGCCATCTACTGTTCAGTACCATCTCAGTTAATCTCTCTCAACTTGCCGTAGTTATTTTCGAGCGTAATGGTAGATCTCGCAATCGCTAGTTTGTTGCCTCTGCGCTTGCCGTAGCGCAAAGATGTCAGCCTCCATGGCTGCGAGACCCGCTCCTATGTAATTATAAATAACGAATTCTAAGGCAACGCAAATATTATGGTTAAAAGGCTGAGCTCATAGGTGATGATAAATAACATAGTTATGTATAATATATTACATTTCTGACTTTATATCCCTGTAATTATTACACACTGTAGCTTTAACCGATTCCTAAATTAGTAGATTATTTCAATAATCTATTAATCTGATTGCTTCATCCCTAGTTGGATGTAATCAAACATTTAAGCTCCGCCCACATATTGCAGATGTGGCCAGGTTCCCAGTGGACCTGCTGTTTTTAAGGAGTCTGTCTGTTGAAGATGAGCAGGAGCTGCTCTGCTCTCTATGCAATGACTCAGTCCACTGGAACCAGCAGGTTGTTCCTTCCTCAGTGAGCAGCAGGGGGCGCCGTTGGCTCTTGATTGAAAAGAAAGATGGAGGAAGGGAAGCAGATAAAAGTTCTGATCAGGTCCTCCTCCTGTCCCAGAGTCCGTCAGCCCGGCGGTTCTGACCCGGCTGGGTGTGGCTGGTCTCCAGTTTCAAAGAGGAAGGAAACCATCAGAGTTAAATGGAAACCAGCTGCAGTTCATGGAGCGCGCTGACATCACAGGGGGAGGCGACCAATCAGACGGAGGTCAGCTGACTGAAGCAAACCTGCTTCTAGTTTAGTTTATGGTCCAAATGTGCTCAGAGCAGAACCCCGCCATGGTTTCCATGGAGACCGTGATTCATGGCAGCGTATTTCTATTTGCTAAAGATCATGGCTGCCGTCGTCAACATGGCGAGGAACCCTACAGAACATGGAGCACATCCACCGCCTCCTGCACAGGCTCTGCAGTGAAGCTTCAGGTTCTATCAGATTTAGTTCTGGGTCTTTTTCTACATCTGATGGTCCTGGAAGTGCAGAGACGCAGAGACTGCAGCACGGGACAACGGGTGGGGGAGGGGGAGCATTCAGCCACATCACGCTTCCAATAAAATGGAGCAAGAAGCAGCTGGAGGCAAAGACCAGCAGAGGTTCAACACAGGGGCCAAGGGCCACCAGGGGCCAAGAGCCACCAACCATCAGGGGCCACCGGGGGCCGAGGGCCCAGCATCTTTTAGATCAGCCTTGTTTTTCTGCAGCATCTGGATGCGTCTCCAGGGATCAGATTCTGGTTGAGGTGGAGGCAGAAGGTTCTGCTGGTTCAGGGACCCGGATGACGGAACCCGCCCTGCTCAGGGCTCTGGGTTAACCTTCTCACCTTCTGCTGCCTGCTGCTGCCGGAGCGGCTGCTGACTGGGGTCTTTCCTCCACTCCTCGCCCGTCTCTCCACCACTGGTACTGGTTCTGCTTCTGGTTCCGGCTCAGGTTCTGGAACTGCTACTGGTTCTGTAATGAAAGACAGTTCTTTTGATTGCGTTTCCTTCTCTGGAGATCCAGGATGAACGGCTCCTGTGAGGCCATCATCATGCTGCCGGTGACTAGAATGGAGCCGTTCAGATTAGCCGTTAGCATCTACAATCAGCGGATCTGTAAATACCATCCTCCTTGTCGCTGTAGACGTCGGCTTCAGCGTTCCCATTGAGGGTAGCTGGTATTTGGTTGGAGACCGGCTGAGCAGGACCGTCGTCCAGGAACTTCTGCAGCTTCTTCTCATATAGTTTACGAGTCGATGCTAAAAGAAAGAACAAAGGAGGCAAAGCGTTGAGAACCAGGCAGGTTCCACTGAATGAAATCAATAAACTTTATCCATCGTCTATCTGGAAGATTAGACAGTCCTGGGAAAAAAAGCTGTCAGAGGCGACGAAAAGAGTCCCTAAGAGGTTTTCTGTGCTGCTGTGCGAGACGCCAACCTGTCAAAGTTTTCTCTGCATGGCGTTAGTCTGAAGCATTAAACGTCTCTCTGGACCCAGTCCCAATCTGAACATCACCACAGGGTTCAGACACCCCGAGAGGTAGAACGGATTATCAGACTTTATTGCTAAGATTGAGTCTAAATCATTTAATTTGATCAGTTTTCCATCAATCATCCGTCCAAACAACCAGCAGAGGATCTAAGAAGGAGGTTTAGAAAAACACACGATGAAAAATAGAATAAAAGTTTAAAGAAATGTGATTTTCATTGTAAAGAAATATAAAAGGAAGGCATGTATTAGAGCTACAGGGGGGTTGTGTTCCAGGAGCAGTGGACATAAGGGGCAGGGGGCATGAATGTAGCCCTTACAAACAAGAAATGTCTGCTTCTGTCTCCTTGAACCCCAGTCGGCCTCAGCAGATGGCCGCTCACACTGAGCCTGGTTCTGCTGGAGGTTTCTTCCTGTTCAAAGGGAGTTTTTCCTCTCCACTGTCGCTACAAGCATGCTTAGTGTGAGGGATTGCTGAAGAGTCAATGAGTCGATGCAATCAGCTGGTTTTGAATCAATCTGACTGGATGATCTGATGAACTGGAAAAAACTGATGACATGATGTGAATAGGCGCTATAGAAATAAACTGAATAGAATTGAACTGAAAATGTCAGATGCTGATTTGCTGGCAGAGGATCAGAGACAATTTCACAGAAATTTACTTCCTTTTTCCCTCCGACTGGCTTAGAACCAAAGATAATCATTAATGGCCGTAAAATGCAGCAAGCGACCAGCTTTTTACAGCGAGACTCAGAATCCATCATGTTCAGGTTTAAGTCCACCAATTAAACATGAAAATGATGGATATCTCTTCGTCTGTCACTATTTTATTTTGCCTTTTATTTATTAATGCTCTGAGCAAACATTTCTCCTCCACACCACTAGGTTTGCTGTGTGCACCCCGCTGGCAAACTGCCTCCATTTTCCTCTCCTGTTATGAGCTTCAGTGTGCACCCCAATGCTGCGTTCACACCAGAGGAGATGTGGGCGTCAAACACGCACAGATGCAGGAAATTGGACTCAAACTGTGGTCCAGCTGCTCTGGACGCCCGGCGCTCTGGTTGATCATCCGCTCTGTTCTGTAGCTTCCAGCTAGAGAGCAGCTTGGCTTTATTTACTTTATGAGTTGGAAAAATAATTTGAACACAGAAATCCCACATCCTCCGTCACCGCCCCGCCCCGCCACGCAAACCAAAGGCTACAGCCTCCGCTGCTCCTCCAGTCCTGCTCCACTCTGACCTCCTCAGAGCTCCAGGAGCAAAACATGCGGAAATTAACACTTAATTTAATATGACGCATTAAAAACATCCCCATCAGCATCCAGCAGAGTTTCTGTCCAAATATTTTCTTTTAGTTGTAGAGGTTAGTAATCCGGATCACTGGGATCATCCATGGGTTGGATGAACTTTGCTCTCTATCTCCAAACTCAGCATCTCTTCATCCATTCCTCAGATAGGAAGTTTGTTTTGACTGGATTTGATTAAACTTCTAAGCCTCTCCGTATAAAATAAATATTTTGATGGAGATGAGAAATCTGCTTCCTGGTCTGTTGAAGAACCAATAGTTTGCATCCAATCATTGAATTAAACAGTCTTAGTTTTGGGGATTATAGAAGAATTATTGTCTAAGCTGTAGTAACCTTATCTGTCGTTAACATATTTTAATTAGTCAAACCTGATCTTCTCGCCGTTCTTTTGAGCCATTGATTAACATGACAGACAAGTTCTCTGCGAGCGGAATGTGGAGTCTGGGGGTAACACGTTTCAAAGTCCACCTGCAAACATCCTCTGTTCATCAGGATTATAATCCCACTATAATCTGCAGTCCTTGTTGGGAGCTGCAGACCTCCAGCATCCCGCCAGGAGGCAGTGCCTGGAATCCCCGCTGAAAGCTCTCTGCTGCAGGCAGCCTGTGGGGGATTTCCTGCTGCTGTTCATAGCGGCTGGAAGTGAATAGAAGGTTTTTAAGGTTTGAGGTAAAAACTGCAAGAACCAGAGTAACAATGAGCCATTGTTACCTGTATATTGGCCATAGTAGCAGCTAAACACAGCATCTGGTTTTCTACACTGTTTAAGTTTTGTTGTTTTGGGTGAAGTGGTTTTGTTTGGGTTGTGGTTCTTTGGTTGGCCACATCTTATTTTCATTTTTGTAAAAAGGTAAACTGATTTCACTTTACAATATTTTGTTTTTGTTTAACTCTTCATTAAAGGGACATTCATAGGTTTAAGAGTTAAAATATTGTGAAATACTCAAGCAGGGGTGTACAGGACTGTACCATTGGATAATTGAAAGGGGGAGGTTGATCTGATGGATGGGGTTTTCTGTATTGAGTTTGAGTATTTGTTTGGGTTGAATTTAAATATTTGTTTTCTCTATTTATAGCTCCTTCTCAATATAAGAAATATGTCTGCCATTGTTCACCGGAAAAAAAATTAAAGTTTTGTCAGCTGAAAACTCTTCAGAGCACGTTCTTCTTTCAACCAGTTTGGGTTCCACCTCCAAGACAAGTGTGTGACAACCAGAATGTACAATCTAATATTTTTATCAGCAGGTTATAACATTTCTAGTTAATTTGGGTATTTATAATATGTTTGTCCGTAGTTCATAAAAAATGTTTTATTGCAGCAATAATGATCAGAGCTGCTCTCTGTTCCTTCTGAATAAAGCTATGAAAGTACAGTAATAGTATTATTGTGCTTTTGAGAAGCAGCAGACTGAGAAAGCCGGTTTATCCTATGAGCGAACAGACACAGTAGGAATCTAACTCTGTTTCCTACTTGGTGTCACCATCCAGCAGCTACTCTGCAAACCCCCAGCAGTGGGGATTAGAAATTAGTTAAGATTAGTCGACTAATCAAAACATTATTCAAAAAATGATTTGTTAGAAAATGAGTCGCTAGTGGCACCAATAACAGGAGTATTCCTACCCTAAGCAGGACATCTAAAGCCTGGTGTCCGCCGCGCTGCGAGCGTCTCCATCATCCAATCAGACAAGAGGCACGTAAAGCCGCTGTCACCGATGATTTAGACATACGAAAAATCTTGCAAAGACGCTGGCATACGCTGGAAAAGGTATGGTAGGGCCCTATAAAATCCGTTTTATTTTTTCTCAAATTCCATTTTTTTCCATTTTAATTTTTGAAAATTCATTTTTTTCCGTTTTATGTATGTATTTTTGTGCTTCCAATCAATGGAATGTTGACAAAACTTGCAAAACAATAGTTCACCTGACACGTAAAAGTCACGAGGGAACTGCTCGGCTCTGTACTCGGGGCGTAGCTTCGTGTTTATCAACTTTTTCGCCGAAAGCGGAGCTGTGGAGAGCCGCTTCGCCATTTTTTCAATGTTTTGATGAGGGAGGGTGAGCGGAAATGACGGAGCGGGAGGGGTTGTGTCGCCCAGATTTGCGTCCCCCGGTGTGCATTTCCCCCCGAATTACGTTCTTCTCCCACACAAAAACCGAATTTCATTTAAAATGTAGAAATTCCGCGTTTACACTAGATTCCGCGTTAATTTGCCAATTCCGCGATTCCGTCCGCGATTCAGTGATCGTGGAAATTATAGGGCCCTAGTATGGGTACGTTTAGTATAAGTTATGAGCACGCTGAAGTACGCTGGAACACATCGACACATCGACGTGGGCCATAAGTTCCAGTTTAAGTCGTAAGGAAGTCCTATTTAAATGTGAAATCATTCTGGCTTAAACATGTATATAAATGTTCTCTTTATCAGACATATTGTCTCAAAAACTAGAAAATTTCTATTTGGAAAAAAAAAAATCCTATCTTAAAATTCATAAATTTTACCTAAATTCGGCCAAATATATATCAACGGTCATCTGTCAATCAATTTTTTTCTTTCATAGCATCTTGATTCATATGTCGCAGCTAATATACGCAACGGTTGAAATCAGAAATCAGAACCCTTTCCTTTCCCATTGAGTTGCGTCCCAGTGTTCACAGGGATGGATGTCTGTGTCTTCTGCAGGCGTAGAGCTAACAGAACTGGCAGCGTTGCGAGGCAAGGGCTCAAACATGTACGGCTGGAAGCCTTCTACACCAAACCAAGCTTCTGCCGCCCTGGCGTCCTCTTCCACAACATCTTCATCCCCGCTTTCCTCCTCTAAATAAAAAATGGATGACGGAGGAGACTCATCCACGACCTTGGACACTAAACTCTCCTCCTCTTGCATGTTTCCTCTGTCCATAGCGTTCCTTGACAGCGTCGTTTCTAAGTCACCAATTTAGTGCTACTTGGTCCCAATGGAATTTCCCATTGGGAACCCAACCTACTAGCACTAAGTTGCTAACTGGTTAGCAACGATGCTTCAGACAAACCGGCCACAAACCAATTTGCTTGCGAACCTTTCGCCACAACAATTCCGCCCCCTTGATAATTGACCAATCACATTCACTTTATTCACTCGTGTAAAGTTGGGCACCACTCGGGAGAATTCGGAAATGCAACGGTTGGAACAGCCGCTCATCAGTCGTGGCGTCTAGCTCATCCTAAACCTCTGTGTAACATCTGTGTAACTTATCCAGAACTTCTCTCCAACGCATATCAAGGTATCTGACGTGTTCCAGACGAGCGCTGAACGTGTTTCTAGCTTCCAGCTACTGTATAATGGCGTATTGGCAGTGTTTTGGTATAAAGGGGGTTCACAGGAGGAAACCATCAGTTCTCCTCCAGACTTCATCCCCATCATAGGGAGAGCCAGAAGGTGAGGCTGATGGATCCTCCCTGCGTTCACACTAGAGACTGACATTTTTTCGGGAATCCTGCGGGTCACGGGATTCCCGTGGGATGGGAGTCAGTATTAGTAACGATCACGGGATTGGGACGTTACAGGATTAAACATTAACGGGAGCAGACGGGAGCGGGAGCAAACCAATAGTAACTTCCTCTCTGAGTTTTTTACCCGCGCTCAAAGACAACAAGAATGGGAGTGATGCAGGAGCGGGAGTCATTCTGAATGGGAGCGGGATGGGAGTGGGAGTAATTTCACCAGGAGTGGGACGGGACAGGATTTAGATTTCTACTCTGGCCCGGGATCGGGACGGGACACCATTTTTTTCTGTGGGAGTGGGACGGGACAGGAGTGAAAATCCACTCCCGTGTCAGTCTCTAGTTCACACCCACCAACCAACACACTTCCTAGCAGACATGATGCTCAATCTGCTGCCATTAAAAACCTTCTTTCTTTATTTATCTTTTTTATTTATTCTTTTTTCTTGATGGGCGTTAAACAGCAGCTAGATTAATAGAAAGTTCAGCGTATGCCAGCGCTTTAGGAGATTCTGGGACGTCAGGCAGACGCTGGATAAAGGTGTTACAGGGGCTTTAGGGATTCAATTCTATTGAGTTTATTTCTATAGCTCCAATTCACATCATGTCATCTTGGGTTACTTCAAAGTTCAACCAGATCATCCAGTCAGATTGATTCAAAGTTTTCTATCTAAGGAAAACTAGTTGGTTGCATCGACTCAGGAATGTGGTTTAACCTTTAGAAGAGCCACTTCCTGTTAAACCCTGGCTTGTCTGGGCCGGATCACTGAGACGGTTCCAACCTAGAGAGCGAATTTACCAGGGAATGAGTTTAACCGTCCTCTGAATGTCACCATGTTTAATATCAACAGGATCCAGCGGAGGAGGACTGGTCATGGTCTGCTCCATCACCAACATTTAGTCCTGAGAGTTAGGAGGCGATAGAGGAGCACTCACCTACGATTGGTCCCACACTCACTCCATACTTCTGCAACTCGTCCCTCAGGCCCTCATCAGTGAGCGACGTCACGTCGACCTCCTCCAGGCGGAGCTTCTCTGATTTCCTGGGGGTTTTCTGTGGAACAGCAGCAGGCAGTTAAAACCTGAACTGGAGCCGTTTCACCATCTTCCATCAATGTCTGACAAACTGCACCGTCTCCATTGATTCTCTAATCCCACAGGAACAACCCCGCTGTGAGCTGAACAGAAGGGAATGATCCTGGTTCTCCAATGATCCGCCATAACCCTTTATTTTCTAACAGCTCTTAAAGGTACAGGGGAGGATTTTCGTGAATTTCTTTAAAGGTGTCATAGAATGCCAAACCTAGTTTCCATTGTCATAGATGAATAACATTCAGTGGGTGAAATGGACGTAGAGAGAAGTTCAAACCCCATCAACACCTCCTTTCTCTGCAAATCTCAATATTCTAAACTTCCACCATAAAACGGGCGAATGCAAACGAAGCACAGAGTGGATGAGCCAGAACCACGGGTGGAAATGCAGCGCTGCAGGCTGCACGGAGAAATGGGAACATTTCCACAGTCTTCCCAAGGATCTGAAGACTGGACAAGCATGGATTATTTTGGTCTATCAGAAGATCCCAGCAAAGTTTGATGCTTAGCTGTTCATTTGCTCGAAGCATTTTAATGAAGACAGCTTTAAAAATCAGTTCAAAGCAGGATTGGCTAAACTTCTTTTCCTGAAACGAGGGGCTGTTCCCACCGAGAGGCCATCACAACCGCAGCTGGGAGGATGGTTCTGTCGCTAAGCTGTAGATAGCAATGCTAGCATATCTATGGAGACCAGATTTGGGTTTCTGAAAAGACATTGAAGGCGATAGCTTAAGAGCAGCCTTTAATGCTATCTTAGACACTATTGGCTTTGTTCAAAATGTGAATAGTCCCACACATTCTCATCTTCATACTTTGGATCTTGTGCTGACATACGGCATAGAATGTGAAGAAATAACAGTATTTCCTCACAACCCTGTCCTCTCTGACCACTTTCCAATAACCTTCAGGATTACTTTAACAGAGTTCTCCTCCCCCAAAAGAAGGTTCAATTTTAGTAGATCTTTATCAGATAGTGCAGTTATAAATTTTAAAGAATCTGCTTCACTTTCTCTCTCATCTGTGTCACTGAGCAGTGCTGCAGAGTGCAAAAGCTTAGCTTATTCCCCTTCACAGGTTGATGATTTTGTTGATGGGGTTGCTAGTTCTCTGCGTATTGCCTTAGACAACGCAGCTCCTTTGAAAATGAAAACCGTTAAAAATAGAAAGCTTGCTCCTTGGTTTAATGCAGAGCTGCGTACTTTGAAGCAAAATGCTAGGAAACTGGAGAGAAAATATCGCTCCACAGGCCTGCGAGAGTCCTTCCTAGTCTGGAAAAATGGTTTACTGCTGTATAAGAGGACTCTTTGTAAAGCAAGAGCAGCATACTTCTCCTCATTAATAGAGGAGAATAAGAATAATCCTAGATTTCTTTTTAATACAGTTGCCAAACTCACCCAGAGCCATAGCTCTGTTGAACCGTCCATTCCACCTGCTCTTAGCAGCAATGATTTTATGGGATTATTTATAAATAAGATTGATCTTATTAAAAATAAGATCATAAGCACTCCTCTATCCGCGATTGTACCTGAGGTAGTCATGGAATCTGAACCGGGTTTAGACTGCTTTGATCCAGTTGAACTCTCTGAATTAGCAAAATTATTGTCTTCATCTAAGCCTTCAACTTGTATGTTAGATCCAGTTCCAACCAGGTTATTTAAGGAGGTATTCCCTTTGATCTCCTCCTCCATTTTAGATGTGATTAATCTATCTCTGTTACAGGGATATGTACCTAAAGCTTTTAAGGTTGCTGTAATTAAACCTCTGCTTAAGAAACCGTCTCTTGACCCATATGACTTGGTCAATTATAGACCTATATCCAATCTTCCTTTCTTATCCAAAATTCTTGAGAAAGTAGTTGCCAAACAAGTTTGCGATCACTTCCACCATAATGAACTTTTTGAAGAGTTTCAGTCTGGCTTTAGAGCTCATCATAGCACTGAAACAGCTCTGGTGAAAGTCACTAATGATATTCTCATGGCCTCAGATAATGGACTTGTATCTGTGCTCGTCCTGTTGGATCTTAGTGCTGCATTTGATACAGTTGACCATAATATTCTTTTAGAAAGACTTGAATATTTTGTTGGAATTAAAGGAACAGCACTAGACTGGTTTAAATCTTATCTATCTGATCGAATTCAGTTTGTTCATGTTAATGATAGATCTTCAACACGCTCAAAGGTTACCTGTGGAGTACCACAGGGATCAGTGCTAGGACCAATTCTACTTTATACATGCTCCCAATTGGTAGAGTTATTAGACAGCATGGGATTAATTTCCACTGTTACGCTGATGATACCCAGCTATATCTGTCTATAAATCCAGATGAAGCTAACCCATTACATAGATTACAGGCATGTCTTGAAGACATAAAAACCTGGATGACTCTTAACTTTCTGCTCCTGAATGCAGACAAAACAGAAGTTATAGTCTTTGGACCAGAGTCTCTGAAAAAGAAACTGATTAGCCAGTCACTTCATTTGGATGGGATTAAACTGATTTCAGATAATAAAGTAAAAAATCTTGGTGTTATTTTTGATCAGGACCTGTCATTTAAATCCCACATCAAAGAGGTTTCTAGAATTTCCTTCTTTCATCTGAGGAACATTACAAAAATTAGAAATATCCTGTCCAGGGGTGATGCTGAGAAACTAGTCCATGCATTTGTTACTTCAAGGCTGGACTATTGTAATTCTTTACTATCAGGAAGTCCACAAACTGTAGTTAAAAGCCTTCAGCTGATCCAAAATGCTGCAGCCAGAGTTCTAATGAAAATTAAAAAGAGAGATCATATCTCGCCTATCCTGGCTTCTCTTCATTGGCTTCCTGTTAAATCAAGAATAGAATTTAAAATCCTCCTTCTCACATATAAAGCCTTAAATGGCCAAGCTCCATCTTATATCAGAGATCTGATTGTTCCTTATGTTCCTAACAGAGCACTTCGCTCTCAATCTGCAGGTTTACTAGTGGTTCCTAGAATTTCTAAAAGTAGAATGGGAGGCAGATCTTTTAGTTATCAGGCTCCTCTCCTGTGGAACCAACTACCAGTTTTAGTCCGTGAGGCAGACACCCTGTCTACTTTTAAGGCTAGGCTTAAAACTTTCCTTTTTGATAAAGCTTATAGTTAGAGTGGCTCAGGTTATCCTGAGCTATCTCTATAGTTATGCTGCTATAGGCTTAGACTTTTGGAGGACATAGGGACCCCCATTTCATCATTCTGCTTCATTCTCTCTCTGTTCTCCTATTCTGCAGAATCTGTTAGTTCAATCTCTAACCTTCTGCTCTCTCTGCTTTTCCTCAGAGTAGCTTTGCCTCGTCTGTTCCTGTTTGGCTGTGACGTCATCCTGGAAAGAAACATCAGCTGTGCTGCTTCCATCAACACCCTTGTTTATAGATGTTGGAGATCGGCCGGTTTTCCAGTGTGGTCCTGTTTCTCTGACTGTGACTGAGTGGATGTGCTCTCTTCGTCCTCTGGCATGGGAGCTGCCTTGGAGCTCGTCTGCCTGGCTGTGTGTTTCCTGGACGGGGCCGCCTTTTACAGCTGCTTCTTGTATCTCTGCTTCTGTCTCCTTGAACCCCAGTCGGCCTCGGCAGATGGCCGCTCACACAGAGCCTGGTTCTGCTGGAGGTTTCTTCCTGTTAAAAGGGAGTTTTTCCTCTCCACTGTCGCTACAAGCATGCTTAGTGTGGGGGATTGTATTTGAGTCAATGAGTCAATGCAATCAACTGGTTTTCCTTAGATAGAAAACTTTGTATCAATTTGACTGTATGATCTGGTTGAACTGTAAAGTGCCTTGAGATGACATGTGTTGTGAATTTGGCGCTATATAAATAAACTGAATTGAATTGAATTGAAAAGGCTGACTGGACCTGACCGGGCCCCGCCCCCCAGGGGATGGAGCGACAGAACCCAACCCGATGACGGTACGCCGGTGTCCATGCTACGGTCACTGGGTCGGGTTCGGTCGCTCTGCCCCCCACTGGCTTCCTGTTTCGACTACGTGCTGCACTGCAGTCGACCAAAATCCCAGGCGAGTTTTAAATTCCCCCCGTACATTTTTTTAGGTATGAAAAGTAGGACATATCCTGGAAAAAGCAGACATCTGGTCACCCTGCCATATCAATGATGTTTCAGTGAGTGCTTGTTGCTATGATGGGTCTTTGCACAGCAGCTTCGCTCGTTGTAAACCAACCAATCAGAGCACAGCTCATCTAAATATTCATGATCAAACCATAAAAGGAAGTAAACCTGTTGTTTCATTCTAGGGCTTTTAACCAGGATTGCATTAGGGCTCATAGAACAGCTAATATGCCATTTTCAGCCCAATCAATGTTACACACCCTACTCAGCGTTTATTGCTGCGTTTTTCTTTTCTTTAGACGTAGATCTCATTATGTTTTTAATAGATGACCATTCTCTATCTGTTCTGGTTCTAGATGCTGCACGTTAAGTAGAGCTTTGCTTTTTAGAATTCTCCAGTGGAGTTTTTCATAATCTGTTCAAGTCAAATGTGGGAAACTGTTTTAATGTGTGAACAGCACAGAGACAGAGCTCTGATCTGCTCAGCCTGCCCGGTCAGAGCCGCTCTATACAGTCAGTGGGACATGGGGAAAAACAGACTAAAAAGTCGGATGGAACCGATGTGTTCAGGCCTTTAGAGGGATGGAATCTGTGCGTTGAGGTAAAATTGGGCCGTGCAGATGAGCATAGATGCTCAAAAGACATCATTTGTTGGGGCGGACCCTGCAAACATCGAGGATTTGTCATGTTTAAATCCAGCTATAAAAGAGTAGTAAAAAGGTTTGCTTTTGATCGTGGTGGACTTACTTCCCCTTTCTTCACACCAACACGGAAACATCTGCAGCGAGTTCAAAGCAGACGGGCTTCCTACCAGCGAGCACTGATGGTGAAACCCTGGTGTTTGCATAGAAACCACATTCAGGCGCAGAGCTTCTAATAGGAGG